AAGAAAAAAATTATTGCTCATACTTCACTTTAGCCATTCTGGCCTCTACTGATTCTCAGACAGTAAATGTCATATAGGCTCCAGTATCAATCAGGTCCTTTGTCCTGGAGTTCCCTCTTCTTTCCGAAATCTGCACAGCTCACTCCTTTATACCTTTAACCCTTTGTTCAAATTTCACCTTTTTTTTCATCAAATACTAATGGTATATAAGATTTTATTAGTTTTGGGTATATAACATAACGATTTGATATGTGTATAAAATGATCACCACAATAGCATCTGTCACCATACATAGTTACAATTGTTTTTCCCATGATGAGAACTTTTAAGACCAACTCTCTTAGCAACTTTCAAATATGCAATACAGTGTTATTACCTATAGTTGCCATGCTGTACATTACAGCTCATGAGTTATTTACTGCACTTTTTTAATGAGGCCTACGTTGATCAACTTTATTTATAATTGCAACTCTTCCCCTTCCCCCAACCTTCCCCACTCAGCACTCCAGCCTCCCATATACTCTGCTTTACGTTTTTGTCCATAGCACACATTACCTTCCTATATTCTTTTTCTAATATTCAAAAATAAATATTGTTTATTAAGTTTGTTTCCCCTCATTAAATATAAACCTCACAATGGCAGTGATATTGTTTAGTTATGTATTCAGACATATCTCAGGCACCCAGAAGAATGCTTGACATATAGCAAGCACACAATACTCCTTGTTAAATTAAATTGGACGGAATATGTGACATATTTAGCACAAGGACAATGGGTATTGGTAGCAGAGAAGAGTGTAGATAACTTTTGGTGGAGAAAGGGAGTCAAGGAGGGTTTAGTGAGAAAAGTACGTTTCAGTCAGGATTCAAAGATAAATGGGTGTTGTCCACGCAGGAAATGGGCTGGAGTGGGAGGAGAAAACATTCCAAGCAGAGGAAACGTCATGTACACAGAAGTGGAGGTGGCAATAAAATGGGCTAGGTAAGTGCCCTCCGGGAAGAGGAACCTGGTCAGACCAGAGGGGCCTACTGACTATTGAATGCCTGCGAGGGATCACTAGATGTCAGCTATTGTAGGGAAAGATACACATTCAGATCTCTCTCTCTTTGCCCATCCCCCCAGTTCATTCTTTACTCTGAGCCCCGGGAGGCTGGCCTCCAATCTCCATCACTAGTTTCCAGTGGGACACATGGGCAGGAGACTGGTAAGTGCTCCCTCCCTGCTGGGCTGCAGTCTCAACAGTGGCTGCAACTTTTTTTGACTACAGATCCTATCAGGAGGGCCCTCCTCAGTGGTCCAGCAGGCCTGTGGGTGCTGATGGCTTTCTGCTGTTGCTAGTCCTTGGGTGCCTCAGTACCCCTTCTTGGTTCCCTTAACCCTTGCTCCTTCATTAAAAAGCCTCTTCGAAATCCCCAGCTGAAAATGCAGCCTGACCCCTGCAGGATCTGGCTCTAACAGAGAAAAGCAGAGAAAGCAGAAGTCGGTGCAGGCCAGCAGCTGTGTGTCTGCAGCTATAATAGCAGGACCCCATCTAGCAGGCAGATGGAGTCCAAAGTCCAGATGATCTGGTAGCCGGTACAAGACAACTAGAGACCCAATAACTAGGCAGCGTCTGAACAGTAGACATTGAAGCTGCCTGACTTTTGGATGTAAGTTAACATCTTCTGAAGTGGAGCTTATTTATATGCATCTTGTCCACACCTCAAACTGCTCTCAAAATGTGTGTATGTGTTGGGGGCAGGCCTGCTCTGAACAGACGCTGGAGAGGATCAGCACATACCAAGCTTAGCAAACATAATTCCAGGCTCACCGAACCACGTGTTCTGAGCTATGGATTGTGTGTGGGTGTTTGTAATTTTCCCTCTGTGTGTGTGTGAGTGTGTGCATGTGTGTGGTGGTGGTGGTGGTGAGGATGTCTGTGACTCCTCTTCAAAGGTAGATGATAATAACCAATGTTATGAATGTTTGCTACGTGTCAGTCACTGTTCTGTGTGTTTTATTGACATTCACTCTTATAAATCTGGCAACAGCTCAATTAGGTGGGTGATAATATTATGGCCAACTTTCCAGATGAGGAAAGAAACTCTGGCACAGAAAGATGAAGCCCAAGGTCTCACAGAGAGGAACCCCGTCAGAGGGGATTAACCTGGGCAGTCAGCTCCAGAGCCTGCTGTCCCCTCCACCATTGATACTATTTGCCTGACCCTGGGCTTGTTAAGAGGAAGGCGTGGAACGTGTTCCTGTGTATTACTATCCATCTTCATACGCTCAGAACCTCCTACCGTGCCTAGCAT